CTCCCTCCCTCCTTTTCCCCTCCTCCTTCTTGGCAAGGTCATGTAAAGTAACCCTAGCTTGGCCTCAGGATCTTCCTACGTCAGTCTTCTGAAGAGCAGCCTCCAGCTCTAATCCTCGTTCTTTATTGGGACATAGCTGGTTCATGCTGTATTATTTCCTAACCTGGTATGAGAGGCGATGTGGTTTGGGTTGTTGCCTTATAATCTTGCTGTTCCGTGTCCTTTAACATCTTAATGGTTAAATAGGAAACCCACTAACATTGTCATAAGGACAGCTAACCCACACAGTGAGAATTCACAGGCAAAACGGCACTTGGTAGAGCCATCAAATTAAAAATCCCGAGTTGAAGGCAAAACCAGTATCAACAGATGCACATTTCCAGGAAGACAATGGGCAGCCAAGATAGGTTTGTGTCTGTAAAAATTCGTGTGTATCTATGCAGCATAAACGGTTCCATTTTTAGAGACATACTCATGTATGTTCATTTTATGTTTTAAGAAGTGTAAGAAGCCCAAATATAACCTTTCCACAAAAACAGTTTGCCTGATTGCTATTGCCAATGAGATTTTTTTTTTTTGAGATAGAGGTAAGATGGAAGTTCAGAATATAGTTTTAATAAACATATCACAGAGAAAGCAATATAAAGTTTAATGGCAGTCCCACAAGAGAGAATATGTTCAATACTTATTTTGCTTTTGAAAAATTGTATTTTATTGGCTTCTTTTGGACTGCTGCTGTTATATTCCAAGGCCGATCTTAAAAGATGTTTTTAGCCCTAGAGGTTTTCCCTGCAGCTCTTAAGTGTGATCGTCTTTGGAAGCCTTTCTCAGTGTAGACTGAGAAGAGCAGCTCATCGAGGGGCACTTAGTCTTAATGGGTGAACAACATCTAAATGTTACTGATTGGCCTATTCACAGGCTCACTCTGGATCTCTAGGAGGATTAGTTTAAAATGAGCTGTTCCTGGAGTGAGGGTATTTTTGTGGCAAGCATGAAAAAAATAGTCCAAGAAAGCCTCGGTTTTCATGGGGCTGGGTTAAACAATTGTAAACACAACTGGAGTCCTGTTTTACTAAATGTTATCTGTGGTCTTTGGCTGGATCTCTCTCTCTCTCTCTCTCTCTCTCTCTCTCTCTCTCTCTCTCTCTTACACACACACACACACACACACACACACACACACACACACACAGCAGAAAGGCACAATAGATGACTCTGGGTAGATTCTGGCTAGTTTTGTTTCATGGCTTGGTTTGTCCATCTTGGGCTTGTTCATGCAGTTATTAATGACTTGCAGGAAACCAGGAAACTCATCTGGAATCAGGGATGCGTTTGTGCTTTTGCTTGACCATACTCTCAACTGCCCTCTCTCCAAGTCTACTTTTGAAGCAGGGCAGGCTTTGATAGTCCCACTTTTAAAGTCTGAGGCTTATTTATATATCTGTGGTAGTTCACTAATAGTGACTACTTTGAGAAAATGGTAGCTTGAAAGCGGGCTTATTTCCAGCTGCTTTCAATTTCCCATTCAAAGAGAAACAAATACCCAAGAGCCAAGATGTATAAGCACATGCACACCCTACATCTCAAGACCACCCCAGGTTTCCTTGTCGTCCTGTGTTCAGCCTTGTGCATAGGGGCCTCAGAGAGATTCCAGGCAGCTAACAGAATTTATAAGGAGCAACAACTGCACTGGGGGCAGGGTGTGCTTAATGACCTGGTGGTAGTTTTTTTTTTTTTTAAACTGAGGATTAGAAAGTGCATCTGCATGTCTTTTAAGGCAAAAGCATTCTACCTGAGAATTAAAACCTTTAACAATTGCTTTCATGTAGCCCAAACTCTACCGATCTGTAATTGAAGATGTAATCGAGGGCGTGCGGGACCTGTTTGCTGAGGAAGGCATCGAGGAGCAGGTGTTGAAAGACCTGAAGAAGGTTTGTGTTCACAGGACCATCGTGTTTCATCTTCACAGCCTGAGAAGTTAAACACTTCCCTCCTTCAACTGTGTTAGCCACTGAAAGTGTAAACACTTAAGAAAAAATAACCAGTGTATAATCTTAGCGATTGTTTTTAAAGAAACAAAAATATGAAAGTGTTTTTTCTTTTCTCTTGCAGCTCTGGGAAACCAAAGTTTTACAATCTAAAGCGACAGAGGACTTCTTCAGGAATAGTGTCCAGGCGCCGCTCTTCACCCTCCAGCTGCCACATGGATTACCACCAACGCTGCAGTCAACAGGTTGGACAGAATTAGTAGTATTTGGATTACATTGTCAGTAATAATTACATTATTCTTTGTATGTTTGGGAAAATTTTTATGAAAATCATGTCAGCCACAGTGAAAAGAACATGTTTGTCAGTGGGATAGAACAGACACGGCTCCACAGCAATACCTACTGCAGGCCGAGGACCTGTTAGGGACCTCAACTCAGGCAAAATGGAATCCTTGGCTTCAGTGCAGAAAAGAATTTCTGAGGGAGGCAGAGCTTGAGTTTATTAAAACACTATGTGTTTACACACATATATGTAAATATACATAACCTTTTAAGAGAGTTTAATTCAAGGTGACAATTCAGAACAAAGACGAAACAATAGGTTCTGTCAGAATCTGAGACTGGATTTATTTTATGATATTTATTTATTATTTACTCATTTATTTATTTTACCAAAATGTATTTCAATGTTCAGTAGGCCCCAAGACAGTAATAAGTAGCAAGATGTGTTAGCTGGGCAAAGGGAATGGAGAAGGTCACCTCCCTTATCCCAGGTGTGGCCGAGGCTTGGCCTGTCTTCCGAATGCCTCCCAGGGCAGAGCCCTTCCCTGTTGCCTTTGCTGTTAATTTCTCTTTCCTTTTGTTCCCCCTTTTCTCCTCCTGAGAGCATTCTTTTTCCCACCTTGACCTACTTCTTGGGCTGTTTCAGGGGCTTCAGGCTATCATCTTAGCCTGATGGTGGTGCCCAAAGCCTACTTAGCCTGAAGACCCTGGCCCCGTGCCGCAGCATTTCTTAATAGATGTTAAGATGCCTGAGAGACAGTGTGGGATGGGCGTCTCCAAGAGCTGCCCTTTGCCTTCTCTGTAGCAGGAACACACAAGGTTTTGGTGGGTTTGAGGCTTTTATCTTTGAAGCATTGCTAAGTACTTAGATGAGGTTACAGGTGCTTCCTAAGGGGTCCCTGACAGGATTCCAGTTGATACAGTGACATTCTAAAATAAGGATACAGAAGGTGGGAGATCTTTCTCTGTAAACAGAGTCAATAGTCTTGTTTGAGGTTTCCAGAAAATGTCTTGGAAAAGGAGTAAGGTCCCATCTAAGGTCACACGTGTTCAGGTTGTAACTTTGGGTTGTTGCTATTTTAACAAAAGTACATTGCTTTAAAAGAACTGTTATCCCAGGGCTGGCAACCTTCACAGGAAATGTTAATTTTTCTAGAATTTTAAAAAATTATTATTTTATTTCATGTGCATGGGTGTTTTGCCTGCCTGCATGTCTGTGTAGCATGTGTATTATATGTATGGTACCAGTGGAGGTCATAAGAGAGCAATGGGTCTCCTGGAACTGGAATTACAGATGGTTGTGAGCCACCATGTAGGTGCTGGGAAAGGAACATGGGTTCTCTTTTTTCTTTTTTTGGTTTTTCGAGACAGGGTTTCTTTGTGTAGCTCTGGCTGTCCTGGAACTCACTCTGTAGACCAGGCTGGCCTTGAACTTAGAAATTCGTCTGTCTCTGCCTCCCAAGTGCTGGGATTAAAGGCGTGCGCCACCACTGCCTGGCTGAGCATGGGTTCTCTGAAGGGCAACCTTTAGGCTCTGAGCCATCTATCTCCAGTGCCTGTGCTGGCTTTCTTGATTCTTAGCAGGCAAGAGGCTTCAGCTAGATTCTTTTTGCCCCACCCCTTCCATTAAAAAATAGCTGAAGTGTGGCAGCAATTATGAAATGAAGTAAATTTGCAAATTAATATTGAATTACCAAGCATAAAATCTCTTGCTAAACTTAAAATTATGATATTGCACTATAAGGGTCAGTCCTAGGAGGATGGGAGAGACGGCTCAGTGAGCACGTTTGCTGTGTGAGCATGAGGGCCTGAGTTTCAATCCTAGCACCCATGTAAAGATCTGTGTGTGTTCTTTTGAGCATCGTTTAACCCTGGGGCTGTGAGGGGTAGGGAGAGAAGTATTGTTGGGGCTTGCTGGCCTCCAGCCTAGCTGCAGGTTCAATCAGAGACTATGTTTCCAAAGGCAAAAGGCAGAGAGGATAGAGTAGGACACAGGATGTTCTCCTGTAGCCTGTGCAAGTAGACACACACATGTGCATATACAGCACACTTACCATATGTGTGTGTGTATATATATATACATATCACACAAATAACAACCACACACGCATATACCTCATGAATATATATCACACACTTATACCACACACGTGCATATACCACACTCCCACCACATACATGCACATACTCCAGATGTGCATCATATGTACATAAAATGCACACACATACACCCTCTGTCATACATGTCTGTATACCTTACACACATGCATATACTGCACACATAACATGTATATACTGTACACATATAACAAACATGAGCATACAGCATGTGCGTGCACACGTGGATGCGCGTACACACACACACACACACACACACACACACACACACACACACACAGAGTCATGGGAGTCTTATTGTGAATCTGAGAGGCTGACCATTAGTACTGTTGCAAATCTCAATAATTTTTTTTTTCCTTTGAGGCAGGAACTTATCCTAGAATTCACTATCATCATCCAGGCTGGCCTCGAACTCGGTTATCCTCTACCTCAGCTTCTGAGAGCTGACATTACAGGAATGAGCTACTATGCATGGCTATGGAGCCCCTGGTTCTCAGTTGAATAACCCCAAAGGAAGGTTCTTGTAGCTGTGGTTGGTGGGAGGGTGTGATGCATAAGGGGGAGGGAAGCATTTGAATGTCTGTAATCCAAAGCACGGTTAAAAACCTGTCATTTTTCTTGTCATTCACAACTGCAATACTACATTTTGCCCGGAAGATGGTAATACTATCAGTGATTTAAATTGCAAAGCAATCTGGCAAAGGCTAGATTGAGCTAGATTTCACTCAGCACCTTAGTTTTGATTCTGTCTTAGAAGTTAGAATAATGGAAATAATTACATTTACAATAAGACAGCTTTTCTTATTCTGTTCCTTGAAATTTACAATGAAGAGGCTTAGGAAGAAAAGTGAACTGCAGATCCTGTTCTTATCTGTCTTCATTCTGGGTACCCTTCAATAAAAGGCTCAAAATAAATAGCCTCATAAAATTGAAGTACTTCTTAATTGTATCTTCTCATGGTATGCTTTAAAAAGCCTGATTAAAATAACTTAAACTGCTACAGTCTTTTTATTTCTTCTGATAACAAGCTGAAACAAAAATCTACAATTGAATATGTCATTTATATTCGTCAGTTCTATTTTCCAAGCTTGTTTGCTTTGTTATAATTTTTTTTGGCTATATTACTCATTTCTTAGGAATATTCTGTGTTACCAGTTTTCAACACTTGTTTTTTAGTTTTTAAGTATGGATTTTGGGCTGGGAGGGTGGCTCCATGGCTGAGTGCCCTCCATATGCTGAGGACTGGTGTGTAGATCCTCAGAATCCACATAGAAGCTGGCAGGTGTGGCAACTACTTACAAACTTATTATTGTCCCTGTTGTTGGTGTGGTGGTGGTGGGGTGTGTGTGTGTGTGTGTGCGCGCGCGCATATAGGTATACTTGCTCATGCATGTGGGTTTGAGGACAACTTTATGGAGTCTGTTCTGTAGATAAACTACACTCACATGGGTTCTGGTTATCAAACTCAGGTTGCCAGACCTGCACAATAACGTAAGCACCATTGTCTGCTAGGCCACCTCTCTGGCCCCCAGACCTATTTTTTAACTTAAATTTTACTGTATATCTTTAAAGTGGGTAGCATGATGTTATGATATACATGGACCATTGACATAGGTTACGTAAATTAGCATCTCATTTTAGAGTTATCCTATTTTTTTTAAAAAGTGTGGCAAGAATCTCAAATCTACATTGATAGCAAAACTCTCAAGCATGACGCAATATTAAGAAGGGCCCCCATGTTGTACATTTCATGTCTAGACTTCAGAATGTGTACTGACTAAGCATGTAAGGTGTAATAATATGTCATAAAAGAAATATCTATTTATTCATTTATTTATTTTGTTTCTAACTATTTTTCTAAAATTTATATATTTACCCCAAATACTGCCCCCTCCCAGTCTTTCCTCCCAGGGTTACTCCCCCATGCCTCCCTTTGCCTCTGAGAGTGTGGCTCCCCTGAGTATTCCCCCACTCCCAGTGCATCAAATCTCTGCAAGATTAGGTGCATCCTCTCCCACTGAGGCCAGACAAGGCAGTCCTCTGCTGCATATGTGCAAATAAGGCTGCTATGAACTTAGTGGAACACGTGTCCTTGTGGTATGGTGGAGCATCTTTTGGTTATATGGGCAGGAGTGGCATAGCTGGATCTTTAGGTAGAACTATGTCCATTTTCTGAGAAACTGCCAGATTGATTTCCAGGGTGGTTGTACAAGTTTGCAATTCCATCAGCAATGGAAAAGTGTTCCCATTTCTCAATACCCTCTGCACATGTCCTGTTGCTTCAGTTTTTGAACTTTGCCATTCTGACTGGTGTAAGGTGGAATCTCAGGGTTGTTTTGATTTGCATTTCCCTGATGATAAAGGATGTTGAACATTTCTTTAAGTGCTTCTCAGCCATTCAAGATTCCTTTATTAAGAATTCTCTGTTTAGCTCTGTAGCCCATTTTAAAAATTGCGTTATTTGGTGTTTTAGTGTCTTAACTTCTTGAGTTCTTTATATATTTTGGATATTTGCTTTTTGTCAGATATAGGGTTGGTGAAAATCTTTTCCCAATATATAGGCTGCCATTTTGTCCTAGTAACAGTGTCCTTTGCCTTACAGAAGCTTTTCAGTTTCATGAGGTCCCACTTATCAATTGTTGATCTTAGAGCCTGAGCCATTGGTGTTCAGGAAATTTTTTCTTGTGCCAATGTGTTCAGGAATATTTCCCATTTTCTCTTCTATTAGATTTAGTGTATCTAGTTTTATGCTGAAGTCCTAGATCTACTTGGACTTGAGCTTTGTATGACAAGAAGTTAAATAAGGAAGATAAATATGGATCTATTTGCATTCTTTTACATGCTG